AAAAAAAAAAAAAAAAAAGAATTTTCAAATGCTTTATGTGATGACCATCATATTGGACACATAAAAAAAGACAGGAGTTTCTTTCAAGATTAAATAGCAAGGAGAAACCAAAAGTAGAGAAGAGAGAACAGAAGTAAAGCTTTCTTCTGTGACAATTTTGTCCAACAATTAATGATGACAGCTGTACTATTATTTATAATAGTAATAGAAGCCAGGCAATGTATGAGCTGTATTAGGCTACTTACTTTGCCATTGTTTCAGCAGACAAGTCTTCAGGATTCTTGACCTTTGTTTCACCTAAAAAGAACATACTTTAAAAACAAAATTTCCAAAGATAAAATTATAAAAGCAAGAGTATTCTCTTCTAAAGAGCTCACCTCTGGACAATGAAATGGAAACTTTACAGTTTCATATGATGGGCTTAGCAAGAAAGTCTACATTATAAACACATCTTTCTTTTTCTTTTTTCTTTAATTTTATTGTCGTTAAAACATATATACCAAGACATTCACCAACATAACAATTTCCACATTTATAGCTCAGGGCCACTGATGATGTTTTTCATATTGTGCCACCATTATAGCTATCCTTTTCCAAAATATTCAACCACCATTAGCATAAACTCAATGCCCCACAAACAAAAGCCTCCCCTTTCCCTTCCCTTCCCCCCATGGTAACCACTAATAATCTTTGGTATATATACAAACTCTAAACTCATTGTCGTCGAGTGATTTGACTCATATCAACCCCTCCTTGGGTTTCCAAGGCAGTATCTCTATGGAAGTAGATTGCCCAATTTTCCTTCTGAGGAGTGACTGGTGGGTTTGAACTGCTAGCCTTCTGGTTAGCAGCCAAATGCTTTAGGCACTACGCCACCAGAGCTCCCTGGTATGTGTGTGTATGTATGTATGTATGTATTAATCTATCTAGCAATTTTCCCTCCCCTCCTATCTCTGGTAACCAACAAAGAAAACTTCCTTCCATATATAAACCCTTCCTTGACTTTTTACAAGAGTGGACTCATACAATATTTGTCCTTCTGTGATTGATTTATTTCACTCAGCATAATAGGTGTTATAGACACATCTTGATAACTGACTGTGAAACCACCACAAAGAAGGAGAATCATAGTAGCCTAGGAAAGATTAATCCACCTTTCTTATACATTATTAGCATCAGAATTCAGTTTCTGAACACACACAAACACACACGCATATACATGTGTGCATGTATATATATGATACAGCTTGCATTATTTTATGGCCATACAGAAATATGTAATGTCATTGACTCACTCACCATGACTTCGCAGATCCAAAGCCACAATCCTACACTGAACTCTACTAATGATTGCAGCCTAGAAGAAACAGAAAAGGGAAAAGTAGTAAGATACATATATAATAGTAAATCTTGCCCAATTTCCAGTGATAACTTTGATAAATGAACTGCTAAGAGAATTCAAGGAACTCAAATAACCAAGACTTTTTTTAAGCAAAATAAAAGAACAATCATTCTCTGCATTTCTGGTTCTGTCCCAACTTCAAAATATGGTTTTCCCCATATCGAATCCCTCTTTAAACTTTAATTCTTCTTAGCTTTTCCTCTAGGCAATGACCCTCTGCTATTATCTAGGATTTTCATCCATTTTTCCTCGATAGTATTTCCTTACTATGGAAATGGAATTCCTTAGATAAAAACTGTCAGTCAGTGTTAGGGACAGAATTGTGTTCCTCAAAATATGTGTTGTAAATTCTAATCCTTACACCTGTGGCTGTAATCCTATTTGGGAATAGGGCTTTCTTTGCCATGTTAATGAGTCCCCATCAGTGTAGGGTGTGTCTGAAATTGATCAGTATTTAAAATAATATTTTTGGTGGCAATATAAACACACACATTCATTCACAATTTTTACATGAACAGTTCAGTAACACTGGTTACATACTTCACATTCATCACCATTCTACCTCTACCCATATTGCTTTATCACCATTAATTTAGGCTCTGTGCCCCTTAAAGTTTTCATCAGTGGTTTAGATTCACTGTTGTCAGTTTACACTCATATGTTGTTGTTGTTGTTATGTGCCGTCAAGTTGGCCCCGACTCATAGCGACCCCTCCTTGGGTTTCCGAGGCAGTATCACTACGGAAGTAGGATCGCCCAACCTTCCTTCCGAGGAGTGGCTGGTGGGTTTGAACCGCCAGCCTTCTGGTTAGCAGTCAAGTGCTTTAGCCACTAAGCTACCAGAGCTCCCCCTTACACTCATTTACACTCATATAGATAATTCTTCATAAGAATGCTATGATCAGGGCAAACATTCTTTATTAACTGGGCTAAACTGTTGTTTAGTTAATGATGGATTCATGCGACAGTTTTGGTTCAAGGTTTAAATATTACTTCTAGGATTAGATTCAAGAGTTCCCCTAGTCTCAATGTATAGTGTAAATCTGGTTCCTATATAAGTCTGAAGTTCTGTTTCATGTTTTTCCTCCTTTTGATCAGGGTCCATTTATTGGGTCCTTGATCAAAACATTCAGTAAGGTAGGCAAGTGCCATCTAGTTCTTCTAAAGCCAATCACTTTTGAGATAATAAAAGGAGATTAGGCACAGAAGCAAGCAAGCTCAAATGGGGGAAAAACTGATGCCAGTGGAGATCACCAAGGAAATGAGGAAGAGAAGCTAAAAGAGACGAGCATTTTTTCCTCAAAGCAGACAGAGCCTTTCCCCAAAGCTGGCACCCTGTAGTCAGACTTTTAGCCTTAAAAACAGAAAATAAATTTCTGTTCTTTAAACCCATCTACTTGTGGTATTTCTGTTAGAGCAGCATTCAAAAACTAAGACACAGGGTGTCAGGAATTCAAATGATCTGGAATCTTTTATATATTATTCAACAAATCTCTTTAAACTATGTTTACTATAAATCTGGCACCAATTGAGTAATGGAGTTACAGTAGTGAAAAAGGTAAGCAATGTCACTGCTTCCATGATGTTTACATTCTAATGTGACAGAGAAAGAGCAGGGGGTAAAAAATGAACAAAGTAAATTCAAAGAATGACACCTGCTTTATAGGCAATGAAAAAATGTCAGAGTATACCTATGGAAGGTACTCCCAATCTCATATCAAACAGTACAACTCTGCCACTTCTGCTATGGGTGAGTAAAAAGCAGGTATTTAAGAATAAAATTTATCTATTTTCTTAACTAAATTTGTGGGTGTTAGCAACCACTGCAGTTGTAACTAACAAGCTGCCATCAAGTTGATGCCAACTCATGGTGATTCCATGTATCTCAAAGTAGAACTGTGCATCGTAGGGTTTTCAATGGCTGTGATCTTTCAGAAGTAAATTTCCAGGACTGTCTTCTGAGAGTCCAAGCAGGCTGGAACTGCCAACCTTTCAGACAGTAGCCACGAGCTTAACTGTTTGTGCCACCCAGGGATAACAGTAGTAGCTAATATTTATAAAATCTTACTATGAGCCAGGCATCAATCTAGGTGCTTCAGAGGAATTACATATTTTTCTCCTTATAATTCTTTACTACTCAGATAAATGTTTCAGCATTTTAGAGAGAGATTAAGTAAACTGCCCAAGACCAAACAGCTAAAAAGTAGCAGAGCCAAGAGTCAGATCCAAGTAGACAAGCTCCAGGTGGTTCTAAAGAGAGCTAACAGACTCCTCCTAAAGGAGCTCTAGGAAATCCAGCTGCCCAGAAATTTAAGTGATCTGGGGTGGAGACTAGGTCATCTATATTTAAATTTTAGAGTTCCACAGGTGATTCTAATATACACTCAAGGCTGAAGACTAGCCCCGGACTAGAGATTGAGAGACTAGATTGGAAATAAGATGATCTGGGTAGATGTTTCTGTATCACTGTTATCTCACCAAACTATCTCAAATAATCTCCCCAAGAAGTAAACTGGGAAAACATTAGCCAATTTTATAGCTGACAAAATAGGTTCAGCAAGTATTGGTGAGAAATAGGTACTATCACAAACACACAAGAGCCTCAAACTTTAAAGTTTTGGCTAATTTGTCCTCAGTCATAAGTGAGGCTGAACAATTTTTATAAGTTTACTAGTTACTTATATTCTCTCTTATGAGAGAGGTCTTATTCTAAGGTCATAAGAGTGTTCCTATGATTTGTTTTTTATATTCAGCCCTTATAATCCATTTGGATTTTTACTTTTATCATATACTAAATTCCTTTCTTGGGGTTATTTCTGTCAGTATCATACTTTGTCTTCTCGAGCTGCTCTTTGAAATCTTTTCTTCAGCTCTTTTATCTTGTCATTCCTTCCATTTGCTTTAGTTACTCTTCATTGAAGGTCACATTTCAGTGTCACTTCTGATATCCATTTTGGTCTTCCTTTCTTTTTTAAAGACCTTTTGCTTTCTTCATGTATGATGTTCTTGCTGTCATCTCACAATTCATCTGGTTTTTGGTCATTGGTGTTCAACGCATCAAATCTATTCTTCAGGTGGTTTCTAAATTTAGGAGGGATATAATCAAGGTTATATTTTGGCTCTTGCGAACTTGTTTTAATTGACTTTAGCTTCAATTTGACTTGCATATGAACATCTGATGGTCTGTTCCACAGCCAGCTCCTGGCGTTGTTTTGGGTGAATATACTGAGCTTCTCTATTGTCTCTTGCCACAAATGTAGTCAATCTGATTCCTGTGTACTCTATCTAGCAAAGTTGTTGAAAAAAGGTATTTACAATGAATAAGTCATTGGTCTTGCAAAATTCTATCATGTGGTCTCCATCATCATTTCTATCACCAAGGACATATTTTCCAGCTACCAGTGATTCTTGTTTCCAATTTTTGCATTCCAATCACCAGTGATAAAGCAACACATCTTGATTGCATGTTTGGTCAATTTTAGACTGCAGAAGTTGGTAAAAATCTTCATTTTCCTCATCTTTGGCTTTGGTGGTTGGTGCATAAATATGAATAATAGTAG